GAGTCAGCTGGGAGGGCGCTCACTGAGAAGGAAGTCAGCTACAAGACGCTTCAGTCAGTTGCTAGCCATTCAAGCATGGGGACCTGAATCGATCTCCTAGGAGTCAGGTTAGAAGAGGGTACCAGTACATACTTGTAATCCCAGCCCTAGGGAGACGAGACAGGAGGATCCTGGGGGCTGGATGGCCAGCCAGCCTAGCCAAATCAGTGAGCTCCAGGTTCAGTGAAACTCTCCATCTCAAAACACAACCTATAGGCCGGCAAGGTGGTTCCTGAGTAGGCACCTGCCACCAAGCCTGACAACTTGAGTTGGATCCCTAGGACACATAATCCCTAGGAATCAACTCCTGCAACATGCTTTCTGACCTCTACACTCGTGCCGTGGCCCACACACTCACACATACTCAAATAAATACATGTAGTGAAAAAACATGAAAGAAAGAGATTGAGGACAATGTCTGACATTGACCTCTGGCTTCCACACATATGTGCATACACACGCACGCACGCACGCACGCGCACACACACAACCAAAAATACGATGTCATCTGAGGACCAAAACCTGAGGTTGACATCTGGCCTCCACACGCGTGTGCACATCCTAGTGCAACTACAAACACACAAAGGAGTCGGGTCCTTTGTGTGAGGACTTCCCTGAAACCCGGGTCCCCCCGGCACTGTGAGCACACCAGCGGGGCCCTGCTGGGCCGGCTGACCTCTAGTTTATCAGAGAGGACCAGTGGCTGACTGTCTGCATCAGGATGAGGGGCCACCAGTCTGGCCAGTGTCACCGACCTTCAAAGAAGGGCCTTTGGTTTATTAGCTGGACACAGAGAAAGCTCCAGGGTTGTCCTGCAGCAGTTCAGAACGGAGGGGATGTGGACACTAGAGCTAGTGCCGTAGGTTGTGCTTGCTAGTGAGTGTGTCCCATGGGTATTGGGGCTCTCTCTCTCTCTCTCTCTCTCTCCCCCCCCCCCCTCCTTTGATGCTTAGCAGTTGCCACACACTGGCTTTCATTGACTGGTCTCTCCAGAAAAGCTGAGCTTTTTCTACAGACCCTGTATGATCTGGGGGCAGAGACCACACTGTCCTCTGAGCCACAGTGGCTCAGTGACATGGTCCTTAAAGTGACCCATCAGAGGTCCAGAAGTAAGAGGCAGAGTGGAGACCCATGGTCTACCCCACATCCTGTGCCCTTTCTGAAGTTGGATTCTGGGATGCTCCCTCCAGCCTTGTCTGAAAGCCCATGAAGACGGCCTGTGGGGACCTCAGGGCTGCAATCGTCTAGCACACAGCTGTCCTCTCCCTCCAGAGAGGATCCATTCCTGCCCCCTACATCCGACGGCCTCTTGCCTTGATGCTTCTCAAGATGACACCACTGCCCAGGGGCATGGCTTCCCTCCTGGTCCTTCAGCTGTCTACCAGTCAGCCTACAGGATTATCACAAGGGGCCCCACTGCCTACGACTCTTATGTCCTCAACAGGTAGACCAATCAGGAAGATGCCGCCTGCAGGTAGCCTTAAAATGGTGACACAGGAGACGCAGCCATGTGGCGAGGCTACAAGGGTGTTCAGGGACCCACCTCAAAAGCCAGTATGATTATCATTATCCCTCCAACTTTTCCTCGGGTAGTAGCTATGTTGGGCAATTTGCACTAAATTCTGATGTTTGGGGGCTACAGAAGCAGTGTTATTGTAGGAACTACAACCAGAAAGCTTAAAAGAAACCAGTAGCCACTTGGAGGTCTGGCCACTGTCCAGGCTGGGGCGGTTTTTTCCTTGGCTATCATCCTATGCACATTTCGAGAAAGGGCTGCTCTCTAGTGTACAGAGGACCAGCATCAGCTTGATCACAGAAGCCCACTGGGTCCCTAGCCCTGTGTACAGACAAGGGGCCTGCTTAGTGATTGGGACTAGCCCTAGATGGATGCACCCATGAGCCAGCTGGACTTGGAGGCTGCAGAACGCCGAGACCTGAAGCTGTCCAGTGACAGCAGTGATCCCCACAGCGACAGCCTGTGAGCCCAAGCCTGGCCACGAGCAGGGTCCTCAAAGTGCAGAAGACACAGAAATGATAGGGAGGCACCAGAACAGAGGCCAGGGCAGTCATGTTGTCAGATTGGGCTGGAGCAGGATCAGTATGAAACTGGTACCCCTGGGAAGTGTGAGGTGCAGGTAAGAGGCTGTTGGGTCATTCAAGGCCACTGTGCCCTGCCTTTGGGAAAGCTTGGTGGCTTTCCTTGCCCTCTTCCTGATGTTGTCACCTTACCTACAGTGTACAAAAGGCAGAAGGGTGGTGTCCTGGGAAGACCGAATGATGGCCAGCCTGGGATCTCTCGTGTGTGCTCGAATTTTAACAGTGTGTGTGGTGTATGTTGTCTGAGTATGGGTGTGTGCCAGTGTGCATGTGATGGCCTTTACCTGCCAAGTTCTCTCCCTGGCCCCAAAGGTGGTCTTGTGGGTTGTTTTGTTTTGGTGGCTCTAGGGACTGAACCTAGCACCTTAGCCCGTGGTTTGAGGCAGGGTCCCGATATTTAGCCCAAGCTGCCCTTGAGTATGCAATCCTCCTGCCTCAGCCGCCTGAGTAGTGGGGTTACAGGTATGTTTCACTACTCCAGGACACCTTTTTCTTTTAAAGTTTTTATTTTTATCTTTTGTTTGTGAACGTTCTGCCTACATGTGTCTGAACCACATGCATGCAGTACCCAGGAAGACCAGAAGATGCCACCAGATCCCCTGGAACTGGAGTTACAGATGGTTGTTAGCTCCTCTCTGTGGGTGCTGAGGACTGAATCTGGGTCCTCTGGTTCTCCGTCCACCCCCACCCCCCTTCTTCAGTTACATGTTCACATACCATTTTGTTTGATGGAGGATCTGTTGTCAAAAAAGCAAAGCAGAAGAGTATTCCAGGATGTCACTTCCAGACTAGGACACTGGCCACAGCAGAGGGTCTAGGAGGACATTCCAAGGCCAGATAACATTGGGTGACAGAAATTAAATACTCCCCACTGGGTCCTCAGGACTGCAGACACAGTGCATCGCCTGAGTTTTAGTGACCCAGGTCTCCAGTTTGGAGAGTAAGCTCAGGGCTGTGTACCCGTTCTGGGATGAACTGTGTGTTCTAATGCCTCCACAGCTCAAGAATCAGAGTTCTGAACGGTACTGCCCTCCATGGGGGCAGAGGCCCTGAGCTGACAGCCCAGCTCTACTTCAGTACTGCTCTGTGGAGGAGGAGGTTGGTGCCCGGCCCTGCGGCCCTCTTCTTGGCGGCCTTGTCTCTCAGCCAGGTCAGCTTCCTCTCTTGCTCTCACCTCAGAAATAACAAGGCAGCCTGCCCCTCACGCCAGTGTAGGTCTCTGGCTCCTCCTTTGAGGCTGTGATGGTGGCTGTGGCTAGCCCTCTCTAGAAGTTGACCCCAGTCACCCTGCACTGTATCGTCTTCCCAAGGCACGAGGACAGAAGTCCACCCTGTGGTCTTCCCAGTCCGGAGTCAACACTCTCATGGACAAGAGTGGGCAGGAGAGCTGCTGGTTCACTGCCCCCAACAAAAACCACACAGCCATGCCCAGGCAGCCGGGGGTTGGACCAGGAAGCTTTATTTACACAGTAAAAGTAACAAGCGAATTCCTGAGACTACAGCGACTGTAGTGCGAGGCAGTCACGGCCTGTGTGGGAGGGCAGGCAGCGGGGTGTGGTACTAGTGAGAAGACCCAGCACGGGCTGCCCACGGACTGCTGCCTCGGTGGGGGCCTGACTCACCACACCAGTCACCACACTACCTGAAACTGGACCACCGCTGCCACCTGCCCGGGACAGCACACATGGCCCGAGCACAGCCTGCAGGCCAGTCTGTCCCCGACCCCTGGGCGTCTCTCGACACTGACAATGCGATTCATTTGCCAATGAGACTATGCTAGGAGGTCAGGCTATCCTACCTAGGCTACAGAAGCTCCATCAGTCTGCAGTTTTAAAATATTTTTCTAGAGGCCTGACCAGCAGCATGGATGTGGCAAGGGACAGCATTGTGGGCTGCATGGGCAGAGGGTCCCTGAGCCCTGGCTCCTGGCTTACGTTTTAAGTGGCCATCATTCAAGTAATTTTAACCACGTCAGTGGAAATGGGGTGCAGGATCCAGGGGTAGTTCTAAGTGCTGTGAACCTTGAATGAGCCCGAGAAAAAGTCTGCCATCTATCTGCATAGGAGACCCATCTGGAAACTGGGGGGTGGGGCGGGGATTTCCTGTTTAATATGGACCTTTCTTTTATTTAACTTTTTTTTCTGCATACAAATTTAGAAAACTTTCCTACTACAAAAGAAAAAAATTGAAGTAAGGCTTTCTGAGAATGAATGCCCATTTGCATGTGTGTGCAGAACAAGTTCCTTGGGCCTGTACATGAGGAAGCCCATGGGTGCTGACCGGGTCCTCCCTTCACCACCCATGAGTAAGGCAAGCGTGGGCAGTCATGTAAACTGTCTAGGCCGCTACCCTGAACTCAGGTCAGGCGCCTGCAGAGGGCAACTCCTGTCAGTCCTGTGGCTTTTGGAGTGAGCGGGCAGGGATGCAGCGTAATGGATGGTCCCCTTCCCTAGTTGGCTCTGGTAGAGCCACAGCTTGCTCAGGACCTTTGGGCTCCCTAGGCAAGTGGGTGGCCAAGCATATTTTGGGGAATGGCACTCACAGGCAGGCTGAGGAAGGGGAGGCTTTTGCTGTTGCCCGTCCTGAAGCCACAGTGCCGGGGGCTGAGCCAGAGGGAACCTCCCAAGGGAACCTTCCTCCAAGAGATCCAGGACCAGAGGTGTGGGGGCCAGTGAACGGGGCAGATGACTGAGGCTGTCTGGGCAGCATGGCTGCTGAAAGACAAATGGGTACCTTCTAGATGAGCCCTGCTTTGCTCAATTAAAAGAAGGGCAGAAAGCAAATGAAGATTTCTTTCTCTAAGCAGAAAGGCTCCTGCCATCTTCTCTGGCTACTGTGCTGGGGGTTTGGACTGAGACCGTAGTGGGACAGGGACAGTCCAGAGGGGCTGAGGAGGCTGGAAAGAGCCAATCCCTACCCTAGGTTTGGTGCAGTTCCTCTGCCCAGGGAACAGTGCCCTAGAGGGAGGGAGGATGAAGGTGTCCTTCAGCCATCAGGCTTACAGGAGACGGTCTCAAGACAAATCACCCATTCAACAGCCTTGAGACACACCTGTCACCAGGAGCCTCTGGTCCCAGTCCACAGGAGAGACAGCTGGCCAGTGATCTATGCAGGCTGTGTGAAAAGGACCGGAGAACCAGGTCCAGCCTCTGCCTTCCTTAGGAGGGGTGGCTTTAGGGACTGGGAGGTAACTCCAGATCCAGAACCTCTCCTTGTGGGCTTTCTGGGGAACAGGGCACTGGTGTGTGCTTCCCACACCCTCTCAACTACCTTCCTCCAGGTTTGCTCAGAGAAAATAGGGGCTCCATGACCCACCAGGCAGGGCTCCTTCGCCAGCTTTCTACTTTGGCTTTCCAGTGCCCCCTGCGTCCCACTGGTCTCCCACCACCACCACATGTACCCACCATGCTGCCCACCCTGGGGCTACAGGAGTGGAACTTCCTGTACCCTTGGGTCTGATTTTAAAGAAACATTGCCTATACATCAGAACATGCGCCTCCGTCCTTCTGGTGGATTGACAAATTAAAGTTTAAACAAAAGGTTCCCATCAAGGTCTTTCTTTAGGAGAAAGGTAAGAACCATTTGGGCTTAACCCGTGGAGGGTGCAACCATGGAGGAGAGGCACAGCAGAGTGACTACCAAAGGGCCTAGATCACATGTCCATGAACTCAAGAGAATGCACCAGTTATTTTTAGCCTTATGGGAAAACAAGCCACTTGTGTAAGCCAGCCCACTTGCTATTGTCTGCAGAAGGTGCCAAGTTTGCTAAAAGCCAGAGTCCCAGAATGCACAGCCCTGTAGCATGTCTGCAGGAGAGACTGGGGGCGCTGCCTGACCAGATGCCCTCTGGGAACTATGCTGGGAGTGAGGAACTGCAAGGGGGAGTGTGATTCAAGCCATGCTGTGGCTGGGCCTGCAGAGAAGAGCCTCAGGGCTAGGCTCCCTTCAGTGGGCTGGGAGAGGGTGTCTTGAAGCCGATGGTGGTACACCTTCATTAAAGCCAGCAGTGTCTGTGAACAAGCAACAATGTGCCAGGAATGCTGTGGAGACCTGCGGGCCCCCAGCCTAGGTCGATACACAGAGATGCCTGCAAAGTGGCCAGCCTGCAAAGCAGCCAGCAGACATCCCTCTGCCCAGGAATGTACACAGGCCCGAGACTCCTGCACCTGCTTGTAGTTCCTGAGGACACTATGAAGAGGTCATCTTGTCACTGACATCTCTACACTTGGCTGAATCCACCAAATTCAGCCCTCAGGGACTGGAGACAGTAGGAAGGCTGCCAGTGCCAGCCTTGCCAAGGCAGGCCCTGTGCTGGCAGAGGTGTGGGTGATTCTTGGTGCCATGGGAGAACTCATGGGCCCACCTTTCAGTCAACACAACCACCAAATGCCTACCCAGTATGGATGGCTTCTGGTCATCCCTGACCTATCCCCTGGTCCCGAAAAATGGGACACGGATTATCCCCAGAATCCCTGCACAGTGCCCCAAATGGATTAAGGCCACACGGTCTGGTGTCACTACAAGAGGCATCTCCCGAACCTTCCCAAGCCTGGGGCAGGGAGACCTGGGAGAGAAGGCACGGAGTAAACTAAGTAAAGGAGGCTTTGGGCAACTCCCCAGATGGAGCCTGAGTGAGGCCACAGCGGGCTCAGGCCCGGCACCCGACGTGAGGGGTGCAGCTGGCCCAGCCCTACTGGAGAATGGCTACCCAACACTCCATGAGGAGCAAAGAGGAGGAGACCAAACCAAAAACCTGTTCCTGGGCTACAGTAGTTCCATGGAACTGGTGGGAGGCCAGCTGTCGCTTGGGAGGTATGGCCAAGTTGCCTTCACAAATTTGGGCACTGTGGGGTGACCGCTGCTCCCTGGGAAGTAGGTGGGCTCCCTTTTGGAAGCTTTTTCCAAACCCAGGAGCCAGGATCCCCCTTGGAGTGACCACCTAAGGCCTGGAGGAAGGCCCATCCATGGCAAAGCCTCTGCCCCGGGCCTCGCCCACCGCCCCCCTCAGTTCTTCTCTATCTGCTCAATGTCCAGCTCGCCATCCAGAGAGCAGAGGCTGTTCGTGCAGGCTCCAAGGTCCTGCCAGGCTGTGGCCGGCTCCCCCTTCCTGCAGCAGTCCTCATCTGGACTGCAGCCATCCGACTCCTCACAGGACAGGTCCTCCTGGCAGGGGAAGTGATCATCGAAGGAATGGGGAACGGGCTCTGGAACCGGGGTCCCCGCAGGGGTCCTGCCCCCTGGGTTGGAGGCTGAGAGCAATGCGGTCCAGGATCGGGTACTGCTGACGAGGGCGAAGGGGCTCTGGGAGCTGTGGTCTTCCACCCCCATGCTCAGGCAACTGAGGCTGCTGAAGGTCTGACAGTTCTGTGGAAGAAGAGATACGCTGGTCAGTGAAGGGGCCAGTCTCCTTCTGGAAGCTCAGTCCACACCCCCCCGAAAAGCCCCACAAAGCCTAGTTGGTACTTCATCTGCCAGGCTGTAGCAAGTCCACCATGAAGAAGTACCCCTGGCTACTGAACGCTGTGTTGCTAAAAGGTATACAACTGCAGTCAGTCACTATATAAAGGGCAGAAATGTGATGAGGCCCCACTTGTGAGACAGGTTCATTTGTGACATTTCCAGAAGACTCTTGGAAGGGTGGCCTGGCAACAGGGTGTCTGATCCTTGCTAAGGCCATTTCATTCCAGATGTCCCTCGTCTGGGATTGGTTCTAGGACCTCCTCCCTCTTCAGTGTGCAAATCCTTATATAAAAAAATTACGTGTGCAGTCAGCTCCAGGGTTCTGACAATACCTGCTATGATGGAAATGCCCCGTCAGTAGCTGCTAATACTGTGTTATTCACACTTTCTGTGCAGATACATTTTTTATCTGAGGCTTTTCGTCTGAGAAGACAGTTTCAGGTGTGTGTGAAAACAGAAACAAGATTTTTTTTTTCTTGGTGGTGGTGCCTGAGGTTGGACCCAGAACCTCACATGTGCTAACTCTGCCCTCTATCACTGAACTACATCTCCAGCCCCGGCATGAATCCTCATGGCTACACTGTATTAAACGGAGCCAGTGAGTGACCCAGATTCCACATGTCCTTTCAGAGACACAAACCAGGGTGGTAGTGAGCTCGCTGACAGAATGCCACCTTTCTTATGTGAAGGGGGCTGCGTCACATGGAACCATCACCAGGCTACACTGCGGCCATAATTCCTACCCTACCCACTTCCCATGACCGGAGTGAGGTGGGATGGTGCTAGAGATCTTCATCTGATGTCCCAATTGGGTATTCAGAACCATCCAGGGATCTGGTTTAATACCAGTTCTGGATTCCACCTGGTGCTGAAAATGCTTTCTGTCTAGAGGGCAGTGGCTTTGACCCACACTGATGTGCAGGAGGAGGTCAGGCTCCAGCTGATTCTAGCCGTCACCAGTTAGGGGCCTCCGAAGCCTCATCGGAAAGGTGTGACAGACCCCACCTTAACTGCTGAGCCTCTACTAGCCCCAGAGAGGAAGTGTGGCTGCATAAGAGCTTCTCTCTGGCGGGGCACCGGGGGTAACTAAAGCTGGTGTCCAAATCAGTCCTGTTTTAAGCCACTGACCAGAGTGTCAGCCCTGATACTGCACGGTGGTGTCACCGAACAGTTTAGAGAGATGTGGGTCTCCTAAGCAGATATGGATCAGGGCTGTGGCAGCGAGGGGCACTTTTGTCCTGCCTGACATCCCTCAAAGGCCCTGCAGCAACCGGGGAAAGAGGAGCCGGCTTTGGCTTCTCCCCAGTGCACAGGAACTTAATAGCACCGGCTGCCTCTCACCAGCCGATGAAAGGCACAGACCTGTCCCAAGGGCCTCAGTCCTTTCAAAGGCCCAAGTGTTTGTGTCTGCTAGCCGCCACAACAAACAGGCTATTAGAACAGGCTCAACAGACAGAAGATGAAAGATGTCCTCTCTAGGGGAAAGTGGCTGTGCCCATCACAGGCACACACACTGTTCTGATACTCCACAAGAGACACCCTTCTGATGGGCTCACTTTTCTCGGGATCTTTCAATTAAAGAAGAAAGGAGAGGCTGACAAGATGGCTCAATGGATAAAGACACCTGCCACCAAGCCTGATGACCTGAGTTCAGTCCCCAGAACCCCCATGGTGGGAGGAGAACTGACTCCCAAAAGTTGTCCTCTGACCTCCACAAGCTTACCCCAGAGCATCCCCCGCTGCCATGTGCCCAAGAAATAAATACCAAGAAATGAAAGAGAAAGGAACCAGCTGAGGCGCTGAGAGGCTCAGCTCTGGGTTCCAGGAAAAAAGGTTGGGCCACCATCTGGTCCTGAGACACAGGCCCAGGCCAGAAGACCCCACAGCCAGCTGTGAAGACCCTGCCGATGCTGGCATTAGATGTTTGATGTAGGCCCATGGTGAAGAAAGCATTCCTTCCTTAACACGGCAATATGTGGATGTGCCTCGGGGGTTCCTTCTGCCTCCCAGGCCCCTGGCCTGAGCGGAGTGAGACAGAGCAGGGCACAAGAGAAGCACGGCGCAGCACTGGCCGGGCTCTGCTGGGTCAGACTGCAGAGATGGAGGGGGCCTGGGGTGGGGCCTGGGGGTGAGGCCGGGACTAGTCGAGGACTCAGGAGCCCACAGGGCCCAACCCACCCTCCTGCATCCCTGGCTAAGTGGTGCATCTTTTTGCCTGAACAGGTGTGTAAGAGTAAAGAGCAACGTACAGTTAGCACCTGAGCGTCTCAAGTGCTCACTGACTGTTTGGGTGGGTGATGCCAACAATATTTGAGAACCACCACATCTATTCTAGCCAGATGCCACAACATGCCTCATTGTTCTCTGTGAGCTGTAGCGTGAACAAAGGCCTTGGGGTAGGCCCCAACAGAAATGCTCCCTGCACAGTGCTCTACAACTGTGCTCTCCTTATCACCTTGCCGGAGCCATCCTGTCTCATCTAGATCTTGCCCAGTAGATGATCTAAGGTACAGCTAATAGGTCCCGACTTTGTGGCCAAGGTAACAGCATATGTGGTCAGACTGTGTGTCCCAAATTTATGTCGATGCCCAAAGGAATAACAAGTGGGGTCACTGGGGTGTGCTTAGGTCATGGGGGTGGAGCCCTCATTGAGTTGAGGGTCAGTGCTGTAAGGATTGAGGAAGCACGTCTCCCCCTTCATCATGGATGAATGACAATGAGAAGGCGTCACCTGTGGGGCAGCAATCCCTAGCAGGTGTGGCCCCTCTAGTGCAGAGATGATGATCTATCTCCCCGGCTCCTAGAGCCAAAGTCCACTCTGTTGTTCCTAAGTTGCTGGCTCCCGGGCTTGCTGCTACATGAAAAGACTAGCGGTTATGTTACGCATGGGGCATAGCCCATAGTAGGGTGCTGGGGACCCATTTGCTGGACCTAAAAAGTGCCAAGGTCCCACAGGCGATTTCAGGAGCAGAGTCAGCCTCACAGGGCATCACAGCTTCAGCAAAGATACCTCCACCCGTGAATGTTGGTCTGTCTGTTAAATATGGGTGGCCAAGGGCACCCTGGGGCCACCCCTCTCCAACTGTCTGTAATAATTGAGACTTTCTTGCTTCATAGCAGGGAGGGAAGCTACATGGTCTGGGTGGTGTATCTTGTCCCGGGCAAAACACAGAACGCCACAGGAATCCCCAGTATTCCTCAGAGTCATCTATGTGTCACCTCCCTGCCAAGCCAGTGCCACTTGGAAAACTCTGAGGACTCAAAATTCAGTCATTTGGCCACTGTCAAAAATAAGAGCCAGCACTGAATGTCCCATCTGGTGGCATGTCCCACCTGCCAGGGAATAATGTGGCTGCCACAGTGAGGCAGTGAGAGTTCTGTCCAGAATCCCACCCTTGGTAAGCCCACCCAGGTGGAGGGAGACACACACAGAGTTTAGCCGTGCTCGGGCCCACTGTATCCTCAGCATGCCTGCCTGCCCTCCGCAGCAGCTCAGGCTGCTCCCATGAAGACTGAGCGCTGCATGGGACTGTTGCTAGCCTGGAGGCCTGTGGACCCTCAAGAAGGTCTGGGGAAAGCACAGAACGGTGGAGTTCAAAGTGCCACGTGAACCTATCATTCCAAGTTGAAATTGCTACCCAACAACTTCTGTTCCTGAGGCCCATGGATGGGCCTCCCACTTCTTACAGGCCTGCTCAGCCAACAAGCTCAGTGGGAACTGTCCTTAGGGCTTCAGGCTGATGACCAGAGACACTGAGCCCACTCTTAGAGTCCACAAGAAGGACTACAGAACAAAACCAGGCCCAGGGAGCTTTTCTACCAAACCAAGCAGACCTCAGCTCTGGCCAGCCCCAACAGAGGCCACTGACCGTGCTGCAGTTCTAGCCTGGGTCTCTGGCTCAGCCCCCAGCCCCAGCCTCCTTGGGCCTGCCAGCCAGAAAACACTGCTCTCTCTTCTCCCAGCTGCAGGGCCTTTCTCTGCACAGACTTGTTCCAGCATCTTCCTTCTGGGTAGGAGGCTCTGGGCTGGGCAGTGATGAAAGCGGCTTGCTCCTGGGGGTCCTTGTTTTCCTGGTATAAGGCTGAATCCCAACCCCGAGGGAAACATGTCAACTCAGCATACCCTCGGCTCCTGTTGCCTGGACAGGGCGACTGCCCTGCCAAGCCTTGTGCCCGATCAGCTTGTTCCCTTCTCCAGGTGCTATGGGCCAATATGTCAAGCATGACGAGGGGACCCCAGAAAGATCTTCTAAGCTACCAAACCATCTGTTCCCTCAGCAGTGACACGGAAGGCTGAGTAAGGCCTGAGCAGAGCAGATGACAGCAAAGCCCCCAGGGAATACTGCCTGGGTGCCAAGGGCCCCAAGCTTATAAGCCCTGTCCCTCATACTTAGAAGTGGGCATCTGGGGACACAGACAGGCCAGCTGGTGGGGGGGTGTCTGCCTAAGAACAGATGGCACAGCATCCTTCTCACCCTGTTGCAGGCTTCAGAGGAGGAGTACAGGCAACCTAGATTCTAGAGCCGCAGGCTCTGGGCTTCTCTGGTGCCCTGTGGCCTTGCTTCCTGGCTCCTCACCTGGGAAATGCATTGTTGTTTTTGATCTAGCTGTGTCAGCGGGATATTTTAAGGACTGCAAAGGCAAGTGGAGGAAGACTGGGGGCAAGGAGGGGGTGGACTGCCGATGTCCCACCTAGCTCCCCTGACCCACAAAAGCACCTACTCGCCATGGCTTGGCGGCTCCTTGCTCACAGCTGTCCCTTTCAGAGCCTGGGGGCTAAGAAGCCTGGAGGACAGCTTCCTCACAGGGGCAGCCCAGCTCAGGATGGACTGTCACAGGGGAAAGAAGGACTATCCTGCAACCAGTGGGATGACATCTCCAGGGCTAGCCATGCTCCCTGAGCC